TAAAGTTTTAGGTATAAAGTACATAGAATAAAGAATAAAAAATGTAATAGATGAGATGTTCTAATAATTTCAAAAAAAGAATTGATAATTTAATTTATGGGGAAGATTCGTCAGTATTGACAATCGCAAATATGACAATATAACATAATGAAATGCATAAACGCAAATTTGAATTCGTATCGTATATAATTATTAAAGCAGATTAAAAATGCATTACAACAAAATTATGAACATGTTCTTGCGTTAAGTTATGATCTTATGATCCAAAAACAATTTTATTTCGCCGTCAGTTTTCTCTTTTTCATATCATATTATATTTAAGAAATATATATTCAACTTGTTGTTGAAACGTCTCGCTCCGTCATTTCTTTGATTTACGAGAAATGTTAAAGGCAATATAGTTTTTATCAACCATGCAACTTTCTTATTAAATTAGCATAATGTTATGTTTTTCCATATAATAAATTTTTACCGATATTTCTCTTTTCCTTTCTTTTTCCCTTTCTCGGTTTTTCGAGTCTATTCTTTTTCTTAGAATATTTACACGTATGCATATTCACGAAATTAAAAATCTGATCTCTTTTTTTTAAATTTCTATCTTTTCCTCGGTGCTTTTCTACCTCGAAGATATAATATCGAGAATTATCCACACGATACATGTGCGGTTTTCGCAACTAGTAAAAGTTACAGTGTATGTTTATCAAAAACATGTTTTGTCATAAAAAGAAAAAGGATGTATTTAAATATAGGCAGATTTAAACAATTTAAATATTGCGTATACCATAACGGAAAGTTTTTTGTGCGTTTGGCATGTATCGAGAGAGACATTCTCGAAAAGCATAAAGGACGCCGTAAAACTTTCTATTGCATGATATTTACACTGTTAGCTAAATGCGTTTCTCTGCAAAAATTGACGCAATTTTCTTTAAAGGCATTATATATACAAAATGTAAATTTCCGTTTATATTTTTGCTTTAGCGCAGATCTTAAAAAAAAAAGGAGAGCTAAAAGATAAGATAGGACTATACTGTTCGATATTGACGGCCGGCTTATTATTAATCCGTTCCTCCCCTTCTTTTCTCTCAACGAAGGCAAAGCTCGATTGTGGTAACAGATTGTGGTAAACTTTATAAGCCTAGGGTTATTCGAAAGTACGCTCGCGGTGTCGGTACGCGAGACTGCAATAACATTTACCACAAACTTTTACTACAGCTCAAATGTTCCTGCCCTACCACCCCTGCGCCACCCCCGCCACCCAGGGTATTCACCGACGGGCGGCACTACGTTCTAACAATTGCCGCTGCAGCTACAATGGCACGCTTTACTGCCGCGCGGCGGTGTAACTTGATACAATAATGCGCGTTCCGCGTCGTTTATCCAGAAAGAGTTGACTTACGTGGTAAGGGAAAGGGTCATGGTTTCTGGTACCCACAGATCGATATAGGTATATCGTCTCAAGAATGAACTGAACATGTTCTAGTTTGATCATATTTGAACCATTTTTGGATAAGACAACGGAGTATAATTTAATAAAAGTAAAATTTCTATGTGTAGATCGAATGAGTGAATTTTAAATAAAATTATTGCAGCGAAACAACAACTAAATGTTACATTAGGATCTTTTATGTATTTTTTTTAAAGAGAAAAAAATTGCTCATTTGTTTTACTCTTTTGAAGACTTGTCTGTTGTTTGCATGCATATGCATCGAAAAAAAAAAAAAACATTAATTTTCATTTTATTTTACGGGATGACATAGTGTTTGTTTCATAACACAATATTATTTTAACGACAAATTAGATTCACTATTAAAAAATATTTTCTGGAATATTTTATTGTATCACAATTCAAAATAATAAAATAATTTGTGAATTTTAAATAGACTTATGTACTACATGTGCACTGTAATAAAAATAATGAATTCTTTTTTAACAACATTTCTTCATATGTTTTGAAACGTGTCATTTTAATTGCAACAAATTTTTTAGTCAATTAAGAGCACATCTTTTTCCACATTTTTGAAAAATGTCTGTGATATTCACTAACTGAAAAAAAGGGAAATATGTGACTGAAGAAACGTATTTTTCAGAGATAAATATTCTTTGTACGTGAAATTATTTATTCTGAGAGTTTAAGTTTTATACGGAAAGTTTGTACTATATCGTTCGTATCAATCGCCTTTTTATAAAAAACGCAAGATTTATTAACCTCTACTTATATAGCAAAAAGAGGTCTCCTTGGACTGTAGCACGTACATATCTTGTTACTATACTTTTAGTCTACTAGCTTTATACTTTTTCACACAAAAAACTTTCTGGTTTACTTCCCTTTACGTCATTCAGTAACGTATGATTTTCTACTCGCTCACAAGAAGGTTATTTGTAAATAATGTCTCTCACGCGATTTAATAACTTCTTTCACGCAAGCAGCATAGGATTTATGGGAAATAATCTAAAGAAATAAAAAAATAAAAACTCCACTAAGCCAATAGTTTAATAAAATCGAATTATAAATTAGAGAAATTTCTCTTAATTTGCATTTATGAAAATTGACAAATCTGAATG